TTGGGCCATATTATGCCGAGGAGGAACTTATACGCTCCGAAATAAGTGAGGGGCAGGAGGGCATTGAGTTATTGCTCGACTTCCAATTTGTCGATGTTAAGACGTGCTTGCCCGTGCCGAATGCTATGGTCGATATTTGGCATTGCAACGTACGCGCGTCCATATGTGGGGGAGTGATTGGATTATAAGCTGATGGGTGCTTGGTTAGACAACCGGAACATACTCCGCCTTCGAGGTTGAACATACCGTCGGAGAATCTTTCAATCGCGGCTTGCAGCCGACGGATCAACACGGGATCATGCACATGAAGACGTCGTTCCCGGGATGGTACCAAGGGCGGGCTACCCACATACACCTGGCGGCACACATCAACGGAACTATCGACAGCGAAACGCACACGTACAAGGGCGGCGTAACGAATCATATCGGACAGGTTTTCTTTCCCGAAGACGTGCTGGAGCAAGTCGATGTCACGGCCCCCTATAACACAATCACAGTCTCCCGTTTGAGGAATTCAGATGACTCCATCTTCCTTGAAGAGAATACGGGTTACGATGCCGTTGCCGGTAAGCCCTACAGGATCCCCTCTCGTCGGAAATCGAATCGGAGCTGATGCGATTACACCGCAGAAATTCAGTTCTTGGGTAAGACGATTCAGGATGGTCTTTTGGCGGCTATTTCGATTGGGATCGATTTGTCGGCCAATCACACGGCCGATTTGTTGAAAGGTGATCATGACGCGTGAGGACATTGCCGGGGGATGGTAATAGTGCAAGCCCGGAGTCCGGTGTCAAACGAAAATGTGAAGACAGTTGAGTAAACAGTAATTCCAATCAGAGTTCAGATCCAGAGTTTACGAAGGATTGAGAAACTGACGCTACAACAACACCTGCTTACCTGGTCCGTTGTATATGAGCGTAATCATGCGCGCGGGTAGCACCTCTTCTCCTTTTTCTGCAGTACAAATGCCACCTGCCATATAGATCCGAATCGCAGGGCCTGCTTCATTCATGCTTATTGCCGCACATGCTATCCGCAGCCCACGGCAACCTAACCAGGTTCATGCCTACAAGCCCTCACTGCCTTGTTCGGGGCGTACCGCCTCTGATCCTGATCGCCCCACGCAGCGAATACGAACCTTAAGTTTGGATCGCATGGAATACTAATCAAGGAGCGCGGAGGAATGGGCATCCGAGCTTGCCGATGAGGCCTTCATATTCTGCTCCTTCGTCTCGAGCTCCAGTTTTGTTTTCATGCCATCCTTTGGGTCTCCATCGCCGTCATTCACTGTTTACTCATGCGCTTCCAATTCAGCCTCCCGGCTGCGGCAGCGGCGTTGCTTGCCGTGGCTCCTCGTTTGAATCAGGTCCTGGCAGCGGACCGCAAGGTGTTCGCGCACTACATGGTGAGTCTTCCTTCTTCTGCCTTGAGGGGCCCTCAATGTTGACTGAACCAGGTTGGGTTGACCTCTGGCCAAACCGCCGACCAATGGGCTAGCGACATCGCGGCCGCCAAAGCCGCCGGCATTGACGGCTTCGCTCTAAACTCCGGACCAAGCGATAGCTACACTTTGACACAACTAACGCTCGCATACAACGCGGCTGCTGCTGCCGGAAATTTCGTGATGTTCATCTCCTTCGACATGGCGTGCTGTGGAGCCTGGCCTGTAGACCAAGTCTCGTCCTTTATCAATTCCTACAAAGACCACAGCGCTCAATACAAAGTTGACGGCAAGCCATTTGTCTCCACGTTCGAGGGGCCGAGCTTCGCGGATTCTTGGGCTTCCGTCAAGGCTGCTACCGGCCCGATCTATTTGGTCCCCGACTGGTCGAGTTTGGGACCTTCCGGCGTGGCACAGCATCTGAATATTATCGACGGAGCGTTCTCGTGGGATGCGTGGGGAACGGGTTTCACGCCGAAAACGGATGACTCGGATATTGCGTATCAGCAAGCGCTTGGCAGCGGAAAAAGCTACATGATGCCGGTCTCGCCGTGGTTCTATACCAATGTACCTCAGTGGAGCAAGAACTGGCTGTGGAATACCGACACGTTGTGGTATGATCGCTGGGAACAGGTGATGGACATCATGCCTGACTTTGTCGAGATCATGTACTTCCTCCCCCTCTTTCGTTCGTTCCTTTGGAGCCCCCCTCTGACAGTTGCAGTTCCTGGAATGACTATAGCGAAAGCCACTATATCGGCGATATCCGCGACTCGGGCGTGGTAGACCAGGCGAAATGGTACGTTGACGGCGTCCCCCACACGGCCTGGCAGTTCGTGCTCCCCTACTACACTGCCGCCTACAAGGCCGGCACTAGGGACATCGCCATCCCCACGGAAGGCGCTGTGTTCTGGTACCGCGCCAACTACAAAGATGCCTGCAGCGATGGCGGCACAGTGGTTGGGCCTGGAGGAACCGCTTCCGCGGCCACCGCGGTGGAGGACGCAGTGTTTGTGTTCACGTTGAGTAACTCGGCCACCACTGTCACGGTGGGTATTGGCGGGGGCTCGCAGACGTTCAGTGTGCCGAAGGGAGCTGGCTTTGCGAAGTTGCCCTTCAATGGAAGGAATGGCCAGGTGGTCGTATCTATCAACGGGAAGACTGGGACTGGGCCGGTCAACGTGGGCAGCCCATGCACGGATGGGAAGGTCAACTTCAATGCTGTTGTGGGAAAGACTTCATAGGTGGTAGTTGGTTTTAGTTAAATGGGGGTACAGTATAAGTCATGTATTGACAAAATTTCGATCTTATGGGCGCCGAAGGTCCTATAGCAAGTCCATGTGATGGAAGCTTCTGGCTTCTCCCTTTCTTCGCTTTCCAAGTCGTGTTGTAGTTTTCTGTGATTTCAAGAAAACGGATGGATTTATTCCGTCAGGGACTTCTGGGCCAAAAACACCATCGGGAAGTATCCCCATGAATTTCGAAGCCTTCGAAGCCTTTTCAACAGTTGATTGTGTGTTTTACGAGAAGCAACCTGATATTGTGTTGCTGTATATACAGAGCCCGTCGGGATGTGGGCGGCGGAGAACCAGCTCAGTCTAACTGCGAGCGAAACTCCGCAGGCTTGATTTCTTTTCGTCACTGCCAAGGGGTGGTTCAAACATGAGCACGAATATCAATAATCCAACCGACTTGTTCCACTCACGGCCCGAAATCATATATTCTCACCATAAGCCGGATCCAATTGCACCGAGCAAAAACTCTGGGCATATCCGCAGACCGAAACCATCCCTTAGCACGCATATAGCATCAGAAACACTCCCTACGGCTACTACTAGTGAACTATACGCAACCGCTTTGTCGGTCCGTTCGCCTATATCAGGCAAAATATATACCCCCCCCACCCTGCCACCGACTTTATATCGACGCTCTCCAAAGGTCGTGGATTCTGCATGCAGATAACGATCGTCCAACGGCGCGGATTCCGGAGGTTGGAACTATCGGCTGCACCCCACATATGCATGCTCAGGAACTGCTTCGGACTGGAAGACCTGATTGCCCAGTAACCCAGGTCCTGCTGGCTCGAGTCTTCTCTTCCTTAGACACATTGCGAGATGAAAACATTTTCTCAAGACTCCCACGGCTGGAGGGAAGAGGGGAGGGGGGGGAGGCGAGTAGTATATAAGAACCCACAGCATCGCCCCTCCAAAACAGCACCTTCCTCAGCCTACCGGTCCACATCAAAAAATGCGAGCCACTGCAATCTTCCTCACCTGCCTCTTCAACGCCCTCACGGTCTCCGCCCACGGGTACGTCAGCGATGCCACCATCGGGGGCACAACCTACACCGGGTACCTCCCATACTCCGATCCCTACTACAGCGCACCACCCGAGCGTATCTTCCGCAAGATCCCCGGCAACGGCCCCGTCGAGGACTTAACCCTGATCGATGTCCAATGCGACGGGTATCAAGGCTCCGGATCTGCGCCTGCGCCTCTTACCGCCACTGCTGCTGCTGGATCCACGGTCTCGCTGCACTGGACTGCGTGGCCGGATTCCCATCATGGGCCGGTTATTACGTACATGGCCAAATGCCCTGGTAGCTGCTTGGACTATCTCCCAGGCACGGATGCTGTGTGGTTCAAGATCAAGGAGGAGGGGGTAAGTGAATTCCCCACCAATAGCCAGATAGATAGATACCCAGCTGATAAAAGGGGGGGGGGGGGAACAGAAACGCTCCGACGGGACATGGGCGTCCGACGACTTCACCACTGGGCAAGCGTACACCTTTACCATTCCCGCATCTCTGGCGGCAGGAAACTACCTAGTGCGCCATGAGATTCTGGCTTTGCATGCGGCGTACCAGTACCCGGGCGTTCAGGTCTACCCCAGCTGCTTCCAGATCACACTTACCGGCGGCGGAAGCGCCACTGGTCCTAGTTCGAAGGTTTCTTTCCCCGGTGCTTACACCTCGACCACGCCGGGTATTGTTTTCGATATCTACCAGGGCACTGCGGTGAATTTTGCGCCCCTCCCCCCCCCCCCCCCCCCGGGAACTTCCGCTACCTTTTTTCTTTCACGCGCAGAGGCTGACAGTGAGATAGGCTTACCCCATCCCTGGACCGAGTGTTTGGACTGGTTAATTTTTTATTTTTTTCTGGGGGGGAGGGGTGGATCTTGGACTTAACTATATGTTGAAATCTTCTTCCATCGGTGAAACGGTGAAATTTGACATCATGAAAGAAACCGGCCCCCAGTTTTGCTCCTTGAAAGCTGGCAAAGAAAGAAGGCGTATTATTCGTATATGTGAGTGATACTTGCGTGCCCGTCAGCTAGCCTATCACAAAGGTACTCTCACTCGTACCTATCCAGCATGGCGATCTGGTCTTAAGTCTTAAGAGATGACTCGATTTAAATTCATCAGCTCCAGGAACCGAACTGCACCAACGCGAAGCCCAGATGCTCCTGGCGAGGCGTAGCAATGACTCCTACCTTGCCAGCTAGGCCTACTACCCCTAGGCAAACCGAAGAAAGAAAAAGAAAAAAAGAAAAAAAAAAATGATTGCAGCAGGGATTGAACCTGCGACCTTCTCGGAGTTCATTCACACAAATGTAAACGAGATGTGATAACCACTACACCATGCAACCACTCGAGAATGTGAGAAAACTTTGTGGGAATTGGCCGGTAAGTTGAAGTAAGAAAACCAAGACTGGCTGGCCACTTGGTTCCTCACAGTCAGAAAATATGAGACAGATCTCTCCGTCATCGGGGTCTTGGCCACTGGTGATACTCTGAGAACTGTCGCGTATATTTCCGGATGATCAGGTAGGACGAGTGTGTGGCATTGTGGGAAGCTATGGGAAGTGGTCCGGCAGTGCTGTGTTTAATGGAAATCGTGCCATGTAGATATTAATCGGACGCCTGGGGCTAGTACAAAAGGGAAGTCTTTGAAAGTTGGTGTTGTGAGAGACAAGATCCGACATTCGGTGAGGTGACAGGCCTCAACAGTTTCGTGATAGTATTCTCGATGTCTTAATCACCAGAGGAACCGTCGCGAGATATTGCCCTTGTTTAGCGCGCATAAGATGAATAGCTAGCATTTTACTCCCTGTTCAAAACCTCAAAAGTACATATCCCCGATCGTGAATGCGCGCGTAGGCTCACTTCGTCTTCTTGACATCCTCCTCCTCTTCCTCCCCGAGGACATCGGGCACTTTAAAAGTGACCTCAACCTTCTTCCACCACAACCCCAAACTCCACAGCTTCACCTTAGGAAACCCGATGTCATCGCCCCACGCCCCACCTTCCAGTCCACCAGATCCCCACGCCAGTCCTGCCTTTCCTTGCAGCAATGGCACCATACGGAGCCACTTATCCGTGCCTACTCTCTCGGCACCATCCTGGGGCAGCGGCGGCTGCACGAGGGTGAGATCTAGCGGACTCATGGTCGTGCTGACCGTCCCCGGTAACGTGATGCCCCAAGCAGCACTTTGCAGATCCACGGCAAAAAACGGTTTGTCCTCCTCTCCCGGGTTAAAAACCTCGACACGTTTGTAGGGTAGTTTACTACCCTGATCAGCAGGGACGAATTTGAAACCTGCCATCTGCTTGGGAATCCCCCAGTTCTTGCGGCCGTTCAATTCGGTCGCCGCGCTGGAGACGTAGATGCGAGTTATGCGTAGGTGCGTTGGGGAGTCGGGAAGAACGGGGACGTGGTAGGCCCCGGGACTGAGGATAAGCTCATCGTAAGGCCCTAAATTAGTTTCGCTTAAAGTGAGCGGCGGCTGGGCTACATAAGATGACCCCTCGTACCAACTGGCGTCTCCGTGTAGCGAAGAAGAAATATGGAGCAGAGACCGCCCGCGAATTCGCCGCTGGCGGATGGGGATGCGAAATCGGAGTTGCCTTCGAGCGCATCGTAGGCCGCGGCGGATGGGGGAGTGGTGGATGAGTTGTAGTTTATGAAGACGAAGCCAGAGGCTTGGAGATTGACCCATGGGGCTGGCGCGAGGGGGATTTCGGTGGAGGTTGAGGCCATGGTGTTGTGTGGAGAGGTGGTCAACTTGACGGGGTGGTCGGCCTTTACTGGTACGTATGATAGGGGAAAGGGTTATGGGAGCAGATAGACGTACCACCTATCGCCGAAACGCTGGTGCGCCTTTGAATACGTATATATCGGCGATACTGATTAGTTAGGCCGCAGTCCACAATGGGGTGAAAATCACTCGATTCCAACACTTAAAGATGGATGAATTTGACTACAGATGAGACTGACTACCATGAGACGCGTTGCTTCGCAGAGACTGCTTACATAAGGGTGTGGTTTTCTACACATTCTATTGGGAGACGCACCGCTATTGTAACACAGGAGATGCGTTGTCAACACACGCATTCAACCAAGCCGGTATGGATACCTTATCATAAACTCGCCAATAAGCAACACAGGCCGAAGAAGTGGGGCAATGGGTGTAACGCGCCAAGATTCAACGGTAGCTATCTCACCAGTTTGGCCAGGCACCACAACTCCCTGAGGTCTTCTCAGGTAGTCCTCTCTCCCTGTCAGCTCCGGGTTGCGGTGGAACCTTAAATGTGTGGTCCATGACGCTGGCAAGAATAGGTGGTGATACATATCAAGGTCGGGAGATTGATGTAAGACCCCGAGCGTGTATGACTGGGAAGCTGGCAGTGGCGTCGGCATCGCGGCCAGCCATTTGCTTTGGTAGGCGGCAACACAGGAAAACTGTAGAAAATTCATCACTTACACTACTTACACTTAAGTAGCAAATCCATCGCTCTTTTGCCTCTTCCCCCAGATCCGGCCTTGAACAGGTGATCCGGGCTTTAGTTAAACGTACGGCCACAGACCGACAACAGTGGGGGATCCGTCCGTCGCCATACAACTTGCAGCGGTTCAGTCATTGCTGCCACAGCAAGCTTCCTTAAGCATTATCAACATTATGGTTTACGTTGGCCCCTCAGAGCTACTACCTTGTCTGTTTCCAACGAGTCAACTCTTCGTCCTACACGAATTTACGTACCTTAAGATAGAGCGGCAGGAACATATGCGTGACCTCTCTATCACAAACATCTCAAATTGGTCACCAAGGGAGCAAAACGTCTGATCTCAAACACAAGCTTCGTTGGGACAGCAGCCAACGACATGGGAGATGCAGTATACCTACAACGGCCTTCCTTCCTTCTTTTGTCTACAACCCTTCTAACCCTATCCTCCATCCATCTAGTTTTTGCCCACAAGATCATATGTAGATCGTTACAACATAAGAAAACCAATATAGTACAACGGAACCATCCCAACCAGACCCAAAAAGAAAAAAAAAGAAACAAGCCCCGACTTTCCCAGGTTTGAGACAGAATTAGCACTTTATTTCGCCTTCGCCTTCTCCAGCCTCTCCTTCTCGTGCTTCGCGACCAACTCCTTCTGCAACTGCGGCGGCGCGGGAGAATAGTGGCTGAACTCCATAGTGAACTCTCCCTTACCTTGAGTAGCCGCACGAAGCTGCGATGAGAACCCGAACATGGCGTTGAGCGAGCAAGCAGCGGTAAGCGTGAACTCATCAGCACCGATATCGGACTCCTCGATGACAGCATTGCGCTTGTTCATCAAACCAACAATAGCACCCTGGAACTCGTTGGGGGCAGAAATAGCCACGCGCATGAGGGGTTCGAGAACAACCGGCTTCGCAGTGGCAAAGGCCTTTCTGAAAGCCTGCTGGGTGGCGATCTTGAAAGCCATTTCCGAGGAATCAGTCATGTGGGTAGCACCATCGTTGATGACCATGGAGGTTCCCAGGACACGGTGTCCCAGCATGGGACCCTTCTCGCACGACGCCATGAATCCCTTCTCACAAGCAAACAAGAACTTTTCGGAGATGGAACCTCCGGTGATCTGGTGCTCGAAGTGGTTGTCGCTAAGGCTGCCAGTAGGCTCCATCCAGCCCATGACACGTGCATAGTCTCCAGCTCCTCCGGTCTGCTTCTTGAGGGTGTGGTCGAAGGGGACACGCTCCGAGATGGTCTCACGGTAAGCAACCTGAGGCTGACCGGTGATACAGTCGACGTTGTATTCACGGCGCATACGCTCCACGTAAATTTCAAGATGGAGCTCTCCCATTCCGCTGATGATGGTCTCTTGCGATTCAGTGTCGACATGGACACGGAAGGTGGGATCTTCACGCTGGAATCGGTTCATGGCCTTGGAGAAGTTGGCGGTTTCCTTGTTGTTCTTGGGCTTGATCGAGAGAGAGATGACGGGCTCCGGAACAAACATCGAGGTCTACAAGTTGCATAATTAGCACGGTGCCCCAGGAGTCAGACGGGGTCACATACCATAGAGTAGGGAAGACCACCATCGGTGAAGGTATCACCGGAAGAACACTCAACACCAAAGACAGCACAGATCTCACCAGCACCGATTTCCTGCACGTCCTCCATCTCGTTGGAGTGCATACGCACGATACGAGGTACCTTGACCTTCTTTCCAGTCTTTGCGTTGAAGATGTTCATGCCCTTCTTGAGGGTACCCTGGTATACTCGGACGTAGGTCAATTGTCCATAGTTTCCTTCTTCGAGTTTGAAAGCTAGACCGACAAAAGGCTCGGCGTTGTAAGGGAGCAGCGAAACACGGGCCTCGTCGTTGCGGCGGTCAAGCGCAAAGTTGGGGACTTCAGAGGGGTTGGGGAGGTAGTCGACAACAGCATCAAGCATGCGCTGCACACCGGTGTTCGCCAAAGCGGAACCCATCACGACAGGAGTGAACGTTCGGGCGATGGTGGCACGGCGAATGGCAGCCTTGATCTGGGCAACAGTAGGGGTCTCCTCGTTCAAGAAGATCTCAGCAATTTCTTCGTCGACATCAGCAAGGGTCTCGATCAGCACAGCGCGCTTCTCGTCGACAAGGGCCTTCAAGTTCGCGGGGATCTCATCCGCCTCCCTGACTATCAATCTGTGCCCATGTTAGCTGTGCGAATAATGTGCCGAACGATATTGGCCTACCCAGATGGACCTTCAAAGTAGACGGATTTCATCTCGATCAGATCCACAACTCCCTTGAAGTCATCTTCCATCCCAATAGGCACCTGCAGGGACGCGGCTGCAATCTTCAACTTCTTGTTGATCTGCTCAACCGCCTTCCATGGGTTGGCACCCATACGGTCCATCTTGTTGATGAAAGAGACTCTGGGAACATCGTAACGCTTCATCTGTCGGTCTACAGTAATGGTCTGACTCTGCACACCGGAGACTGCACACAGTACCAACACGGCACCATCAAGGACTCGCAGCGCACGCTCGACTTCGATTGTGAAATCGATGTGGCCCGGGGTATCGATCAAGTTAAAGTGGTAAGGCACCTCGACACCTTCCTCGTTCTTCTTGTTCCAGTTACAGAACGTAGCCGCAGACTGAATGGTAATTCCTTTCTCTCTTTCAAGGTCCATGGAATCCATCTTGGCACCGACACCGTCCTTACCACGCACCTCGTGGATAGCATTGGTCCTTCCGGTGTAGAAAAGGACTCGCTCGGTACAGGTTGTCTTTCCAGAGTCGATATGGGCTGCAATACCGATGTTGCGCACCTTGCTCAACCGCGCCGCATCCTTCTTGGGTATCCGGGCGATTATGTCCTCGA